TATATAAATTAGAATTATCAGTTCAATTTAATTGCTTATATGTAGAAATGTCACATTTCTGATTGTACCACCAATAACAAACCACTTTTATATAATCAATTATTTATTGAATCATTATTAAGAAATTGAAGGCATTTTGTACAATTGGAACACTTGCTGATAAGATATATATATATATATATATCATACATAATTGCAAAGTCTCTCTCTTTATACTATATTAAAAACTTCCAATATCTTAATTGATATCAATATCAGTGGATATCAATGTTGATTGTTTCAGTTAACAAAAAAAAATATACAAGACAATGTCTTTGTAATGTTGCATTGCAATTTGCAACATTGCAATGTTGCTGCAATATAATTGCAATGATCTGTGCTGTATGGGAGTCATCTATTGAATAAGTTGGCGCAAAATTTTGTTTTTTTGCACATATTTTTATAATATTAAAAAATAAAAAAGCTTTCTTGATTAAATATTTGCTGTATTAGTAATCTTGATATCAAAAAGCCTATGAATATTATAAATAGGTAAAAATGCTGAAAAGTTCTTGATGACGCTGACAACAAAAGTATGCCAATCCATTAAAAAAAAATTGGCTTGATCTTGAAATAACCGTGAAAATAATAACTAAATTACATAACTGCAATTACGTTGTCATATGTCCCCAATCTATCCAAGCAACTTTTGTCTAAAACATATTTTTGTATTATTTAATAGTTTCAAAGCTATATTTACCTGTAACACTTTAAATGGACCACCCTGTATAATCGCGGTTTATATATTTTTTAAAACTTCCACACACATGATAAGCACTTCGAGATGATAAACTTTCAAGAAGATCACGGAGCGCGTATCTAAAATCTAGAGCATGTATCTCAATATATGCAATGCGTTCGACGTTGAAATGCCAGAAGTGGGAGATGGTAACGGAACTTTATTTGCATTTTTATACAATTCGTATCTTTTTTTATCTCCCCAAATTATCTTTGGATACATTAATTGTTACAAAAAGTTTTGATAATTTATGGACTTTCACAAATAATCTGCATAGTATTTTATCATGAATCTGTTCAAAATCGGTCACATGTTCAATGACAATTTATTTGCGCATGCGCAAGAAGGTTCTTAGGGAAAAATTTGCTCCTATGGCTGTGTTCGTCTTGACGTTGCAAATGCTGAAAGCGATCGATTGGCCAATCAAGATAAAAATATCTTTGCCTCGATTGGTCAATCGTGCAGACCCTAGGCATTTGTCAATATGATTGGTAGTGTCCAAATAAATCTTTTTGCAGCGCGCGGCGCATCAAGACAAACGCAGTCTATGGTAGCAAATCGCTCTAGATATCGAACTCCACTCGATCTGGGTACCGATCCTGTAATTCAAGTGATGGTAAAAATGACAAAAATGAGCGAATTTACTAGAAAATTTATAATTTCATTGGCCCAAACCTAATAAATTCATCCATTTTTGTAAATGAGGAAATTCACTAGAGTATCTACAATCTCATTTGTCAAAATCTAGTAAATCTGTTCACTTTTGTAATTTTCACCTCGTTTCAAGAACCGTAATAGGCCTCCTTGGTACCGATCAAGTAACTTTTTCCCTAGGGCGGAAACGTGAAAAGTGAAAAATATTAGCATTGAAATCAATGGCAAAAATTTTCACTTTTCCGCCCTAGGGGAAAAGTTACATGAGGTTTGTTCGCGTTGCTTGAACTTTTTGCACTCAGTATCTTCGCTTTCACTCTCTTCAACATCCGAATATATATTTATCTCGTTTTAAGTGCAAAAATTTTTGGGAATTTCAAGCAACGCGAACAAACCTAGTATCGATACCCTGAACTTTGCGATTATCCGCATATCCCTAGTTTCCGGTTACTCGAGAAGAAGCGAGAGGAACGGCGCGGATCGGATGCGAGCGCGAGCAGGACGCTCGAGAAAGGCGAGGACTCGAGAACGTGGCGCGGGGCGGCTGCAGGTGTTCGATGACGGTTGGTGACAGTTGTGATCGGCGCGTTCGAGGCGTGCGTTAAAAAGGAGCGAAAGAGAAATAGGAGAAGAGACAAGGTGATCGCGACTCTACGCGAAAGTACGTACAAGAGAGAAAGAGAAGAAACGTCAAGTCTCTCTTCACCCCCTCTCGTCGTGTATTTTGGCCGCGATATCTCATCGCGATACCGATCTCGAGGAAGGCGAGAAGCAGCTAACCGGACCGAGACGCTCGCTCGCTCGCGAGGAGGGCGAGTCCGTCCGTTACAATCGCGGCAGTGGTGGTGGTAATAGTGGTAGTGTGGTAGTGTGGCAGCAGTGGTGATAGTGGTGTGGTGGTGGTATCCGCGCACTCGTCGTCGGTTGCGCATCGTGGCGACAGCTAGTAGCGGCTGCCGCCGTCGTCGTCGTCGTTGGACTCGGTTAGACTCTGCCCCGAGTCGATCGTGTCGCGTATGCGAGTAACGTTATTCCGAGTACGCGAGTAGTTATCGGTGAGTACACGGCACCGGGAAAGAGAGGAGAGACGTGAGAGAGAGAACGAGAAAGAGAGAGAGAGACAGAAAGCTCTTTAAAAATCTGATTAAAATTAAATGAAGTACCTGCTACTCTTAAATAAAAAAAAATTCATTATTTTTTTCTAGAAATATGAAGTATAATTAATTTAAAAAATGCCTTTTTTTGCAGAAAGAAAATCATAAAAGATATGCATATTGAAAATGTTTC